GAGAGAGAGAGAGAGAGAGAGAGAGAGAGAAAGAAAGAAAGAAAGAAAGAAAGAAAAAGAAAGAAAGAAAGAAAGAAAGAATACAACTGTCCATGTTACTTTATGAAGTATTTGAACTAGGAAAGGCATGTAGAATTTTAAGTAACAATCAGTCATCAAAACCTAATCACAACTCTACAGCAACTAGATGGACAGATTCCTAAATTTATTGTCTAGCTAGAATATCATTGATGGGCTGGGATTCTCAATTCAACACCATTTACATTCAGATGTCACAATCCAGAGGTCCACCTAGTCATTGATTCAGTTTTCCATCAATGAGTTCCCTTTTTGATTCCTAATTTATAAGGGCATTTTTGATAAAAATCTGCAAAGACCCCTATAAGCACACATGAACTCACATTCACAAGATAAATGGAAGAAAATATTAGATGACTGTGAGTATCTGTAATTAATTTACATAAATGTTAAGATTAGGATTAGAGAAATTATGATTAAGAACCATGAATTGTCATCCAGCCTACATGTTGATATCCTTCCCCAAAATGGAAGACTATGTATTAATTTGACAATTTTGAATGATACAATTTGCATTAATGTGGTTAAATCCTGGATATTATGAACATACTGGTATAACCCTAAGTCTCTTTTTTTCCCTTATATTTATGTCACTATCTACTGGTATTTAGCATCTTGGACATGTGTTTTTCTGTTTATTACCTTAGTAAAGCTTTGATTTTATTTGTGTCTTTTGTACAAAGATAAACAGCAATTAAGACATTGACTTTAGAAATTATTTTATTTAAGTAAACTTAAAGGAAAAATCACTTCCAATTATTAAAAGTCATTTGCAAGATTTTATATCATTTACCTGCCATACACATAAATCTCACCAATTTGCCTAACTAAAATTTTGATGAACAAAGACAACAATAGACATGCTAAGGTGGACTAAGGAAAGCCCAGGAAGCTGTAACTGTACAGAACAACTAAGGGCAACTATAGAATGCTAAAAGCAGAGTAAATAGTCTTCTGTCTTTCCCAGATAAGAGCACACCTATTGGTTATCCAATCCCATGTGATCAGTTCTGAAAACATACAAACAAATAACATTATATGATTGATCAGGTTGTATTTTAGAATATACATGTCTATACATACATGTATGTAAAATTAATGATAAAAGAGGCCACAGATTTGAAAGAAATGAGAAGGGGTATATGAGAGGGACTGGAGGAAGGAAAGGGGTAGAGAATATGATATAATTATAATCCAAAATATAAATAAGATGTGAATTTTGTATGAAAAGAAAAGCCACTTGTTTGTTTTTGCTCTTTTAGGGACCCACCACCCAGCTCCCAAATAAATCACATGCAGAGACTTATTGTTAATTATGAATGCCCAGCCTTAGCTTGGCTTGTTGGTTTTGTTGCTAGCCAGCTTTTCTGAGCTTAAATTGTCCTGTCTACATTTTGCCCCTGGGCTTTCCCCATTCCTTTCATTCTATAAACCTTACTCTTACTACATGGCCGGCTATGTAGCTGGATGTCTATCCCCTGGAGTCCTCCTTCTTCTCTCGCTACTTCTTCCTTTTTCCTAGATTTCTCCTTCTATATCTCTTTCTGCCTGCCAGCCCCACCAATTATTTTTCTTGCTCACTATTGACCATTCAGCTCTTTATTAGACATCAGGTGTTTTACACAGGCACAGTAACACAGTTTCACAGAGTTAAACAAATGAAACATAAATAAAAGCAAAATACCTTAAAATAATATTCCCAAACATCAATGCCATATAGTGTTATATAACACTGACTGTTCTTAGTATTTTCCTTTGAAATTATTTTGTAGGTAAAGTAAAATTGAAATGAATTTTCTTTATTTGAAGTTTCAGTTTTTTAAAATTTGTATTTCAAATTTTCCATACAGTATAC